ATATATATATATATAGGGACTACGTGGAATTCTGCCTTTCATGTTTTAGAGTTATTCTTTTCTATTCTTCTTCAGTTATGTCATATTAAATTTCTTCTTAAGTTAGTTTATTTTTGATAATTTATAATGGTTGCACTTAACTTTATTCTAGTCGTTCCTTTTGTTATATAAGGAGAGTTGTAATTTGATTAATAAGAAATAAGAGAATACGATTTTCTCCACTTTTCTTCATGGTATCAAAGAAGTAAAAACCTTAGCTCTCCTTTCACCATCGGAACATCTCCCTACGGACACACCTCACTTTCCCTGCACTTCTGTGTGATTGCTTCTCAATGCTTCCAAGCAGGCGAGATTCCTTCTGGATCACTTTGCACCAAGTTCCTTCTGAATCGCTTCAAAACAAGTTCCTCCCAGATCGCTTAGTGTGATTCCTCCTGGATCGGTTCGTTCAATACCTTCTCTTCGTCGGGATCAAGTCACGGCACATGCAATTCCCTTAGTTGAATTTTATTTCTTTAATGGAAATTCTTACTTGCTCAAACTGGACAAACTGGATTTTCTCTCTCCAGTGAAAATCTAAGGCAGTTGAACTTTCTTTCTCCAAACAGCTGGAGAAACTCATTACAATCTCCGAAACGTCTCCTGAGAGCCGCAAAAAATCCCTTTACTTGACCTGCAAACCCTTCCCAGGCTCTTTCCTACTCTCGAAAATCCTTGTTGGAGGCCTCCTTCTTTGGATTCTTCCTGCAAGCTTCCCTGGTAAAGTCTTTTGCTACTGAATCTACCCTACAGCCTAAATTCCTGCTTCAAGCCCTTCTTAGACAAACTTTCCTGCAGGCCCTTCGTTCTTCACCTTTTTGCCGTAGGACCTTCAAGCAACATTAGTAACTGCAGCAGCAGTACCTCCCTGTAACAAGCTGCAGCCCTAAATACAAATAGGATTTATGACCAAGTACAGTATGAAGACATCAACTTCCACTCTGAAGATTAATCATCCTTTGTGTGAACATTGCATTAAAATTGGTCACACAAAGGACATGTGCTCTCGACTACATGAAGAACATGCAGAAAGGAAACCTGAGCAATGGGAGTAACGACCAAGACAACAAGGTACTTGCTGCTACTTCTGAAGGGTTGGCCGACTCTAGCCTTTTTCACCAGGGAACTATAGGTGTTCAAGGAACTTCTTTTGAGCACCATTAAGTGGCCTACCAACTTAATGATACACAAAGGTATCATGTCCTCCTATTTCACTGATAATGTAAGATTTCAATCTTGGATAATAGATTTAGGTGCTTCTGATCACATGATTGAAGATATCCATGCTCTCACCCACTACCAAGGGTTCATCGACTCCAAATATGTTAGACTTATTGATGGATCTCACTCTAGGATTGTTGGGAAACTGAAAATCTCCAAAGATACTTAGTTCTCTGGTGTGCAATACATTCTCAAATTAGACTGTAGTTTATTGTCAATTAGCAAGCTTACTCATGACTTGAATTGTGTTACTAAATTGCTTTCTAATACTTGTGAATTTCAGGCATTGGCTTCGACGAAAGTGAGCGATAGTGTTGAATTGTATCAAGGTCTATACCTGCTCAAGAAAAGTTATTTCATTAACACACAAATGTCTACTTCATCATCTTATTGACAATCAAGTTTTATTATGGCATTTTCGACTGGGTCATTCTAATTTTTATTATGTTGCAAAGTTGTACCCTCATCTCAATATCAATAAAAAATTAGAGTATTACCATTGTGAATTCTATTAATTGGCTAAACATATTCATTATGTCTATCCCTCATATCCTTTCTCTATCATCTATAGTGACATTTAGAGACCATCAATAGAGTGAGATGGTTTGTCTCCTTTATTGATGACTATAGAATCGGTTGGATATTCTTCATGAAAGAAATTTTAAAATTGTACATATCTTTCATTCACTCAGTTTCAATACAAAATTCAGATCCTCAAAACTGATAATGCAAAGAAATACTTCAATTCTAACATTGAGCCCTACATTGCAAAGAACAGTATCATCAATATGAGTTCTGATATTGTAACTCCACAACAAAATAGGATAGCTAAGAAGAAAATAGACATCTCTTTGAACCTGTAATGCATTCTCATAATATCCTAAAAGTTTTGAGAGAAGATGTGCTCACATCCACCTACTTATTAATAGAATGCTAAGTACGGTCCTTGGATTCAAAGCTTCTCTCGATATTGTGATAAGAAAATACCCCTGTGTCAGAACCTTCTCATCTAATCTTCCTCTTAAAAGATTTGGGTGTCTCTTTTGTTTACATTTACCATCCAAACCGCAAAAAACTTGACCTAAGATCCATCAAATGTATATTCCATGAGTATGTTTCTAACAAAAATGGGTACAAGTGTTATTCTCCCATTACAAAAAAATAATATAACTCCATGGGTATTACATTCTTTAGAAACCAATCCTACTACCCCAAATTTGAAATTCAAGGGGATAGTCTGGGTGATTATCAGACTTAAGACACTATTTTGGATACTCGCCCAGATTAAGAGTCATCACAACCTACTCTACTTCCCTACAATACTTGTGATACCCATACTGATCTAGAATCATTACAATCTACTCTCCTTCCTTCTAACCATCCTGTTTCCCAAGTTCCACCAGTTGAGAAAATCCAACCTGATATTGACAATAAGAATTTTTGTGTATATGCTAGGAGAAAGAAATCCACTAAGCAATATAAAGACTATGCAACCAAAAGATTGTTCACAACCAAATTTAAAATCACACATTGTTGAGCTTTCAAGGAAGGTGAAATGTAGTTGAAATAGAAAAAAGTTGCTCAAATTATCCTATCCAAGATTATGTTTCCTCCGGGAAGTTATCATCAACTTATAATGCTTTTGCATCTAACCTTGATAATATGCAGATGCCCAAGTCAATTCAATAAACACTTCAAAGCCCATAATGGAAAAAAATAGTTGAAGATGAGATCTAAAGACTTGATCTAAATAACATATAGACCTTTACAAAGCTTCCTCCAGATAAAAGACTCATTGATTTCAAATGGGTTTTCCATGTCAAGTATAAAACGGATGGGAGCAATGAGAGGTTTCAGGCTAGGTTGATCGCCAAAAGTTTCACTCAGTCTCGTGAGATAAACTATTAAGAGACATTTGATTCATTGCTCCAGTGGCCAAGCTAAATACTGTAAGAGTTCCCCATTCTTTGGCAATGAATAAAGAATAAGAGCTACATCAAATTGATATCATGAATGTGTTTCTGAATGAAGACCTTGCAGAAGCGTATACAAATATACAGCCAGAACTAAAAAATAAATTAGGTTGAAAAGATGTTAATTGTATAAAATGAAGGGGAAAGCTTGATCGTTTCCTCCTACTACTAGGGTTCTTTGGTGAGTTTCCTAGAAATATTATTTGGATTATTTTTAATAAAATTTATTTGGATTATTCTTCATGTTCTTATTCTTTTTTGAATGATAATATATATTACTTGTATCATTATTATGTTGTCATGAGTAACTTACTTCCATCTGCATAATTTGATAACGAGATAATACGCATGGTTATTTTTTTCATATGAAATAAAGTTCATTGATTTCTTCTTCTCTTTTCAAATTTTACTTATGCAATTAGTTGTGTTTCCAAAATTCCCCTTCATGGCTCTTTCACATCACAATTTTTTTAACTTTTTGTCATTAATCCTACAAAGAGTTAAGGGTTTGATGATAATTTTGGGTTGATTCTTTCATAGTTGTTAAATTACTTGGAAAATGAGTTTCACTTTCAGTTCAATCTTAAAAGAAGTTCAGAGCTAGGTAACTTCCTAGAATTGATTCTATGGTATGTGTCAACCCTTAATGAAAAATTGATTAGAATGAATGACTTGACTTTATTCTATTTCGTAACAGATAGTAATCATCGTTATATTACTTTACTTCCAATTTCTTTACTTTCTTGCC